AAGGGTGTTACTCAAGGTCATGTACGTCGAACCGCTCGAAATCAGTGAACTTAATTCGAAACGCCATATTGTGTGCCATATGCTCCAATTTGAAAAAAAAAATAACTCAGTCAGATTAATCTCTGTAACTTTTTTCGATTCCAAGTGACAACGCCTTCGGCGCGTCGGATAGGCCTTCCCGCCAAATGTCTGTGTGGAGATAGTGGCCTACCCTCAGCGCCTGAGCGGCGATACTCCCTGCTAAGGCCGTATCACACTGGCGCAGCCGCCGCCGCTGCCTCTGCCGCCCGCCGCGGCGGCGGCGGCGACCATCCTGCGCCCGCCACTTCCCACCATAATTGTCTGGAACGTCTGAAATGTGTACGGGAAGGCGCTGATCTGTTATAATTTTGAACAAATGACGGGAAACAATCAAGCACTATACCTAACGATTAATATCGTAAAGCGGCGATTTCCACTCTAAAATTCTGGTTTAAATCCTATGATCATCAATTATATGGGTAGGTATTATCGGTATTTGGCAGAAACGCCGATCCACACCGATTTTCACTGTTTGTTTACGTTTCCATAAAGGTGCGGGAAATGCGCAGTGGGGGGGAGGAGGAGAAGGGGTAGGGGACGCGGCACGGCAAAAGGGGAGAGCAATAATTACGACACATTCACCGACATATCGTGGTCGCGGGATGTTATTATTTCCTGGGGTAGGCAATGCCGCCTCGCTTGTCCAGGATATGATCCTTTGGGGATGCTTCCCGTCCCGTGCATCGTTGTGTATGGCTCGAGGCGGCAACGCCAGGGAAGTGCCATGTGACAATAGTGAAATGATCAGGATAATAAACTATTATGGGCGATTTGCTATTAATAATAATTATTATATTTGGCGACTTTTAAGAAATATGCACCAGCCCGTGTGTAACGACGTTTGGAGCCGAATTGTATTTGTCGTGGGAGGGTCATCGGCGTGCTCGGGAAGGTCCCCAATGACGTCCCCGGGGGCCCGGACGACATCGGCACTACCAGATTTGGACTCAGCGTGCGAGAAAACCCCCGAACACGATATTTCAGTCGTCCTGGTCGTTCCGAGGTTGACGGTCGGTCGGTCGGTCGGCCAAATCGTATCTTATTTTGACAGCCCCCGTGCCCTCGCCGTGCCCCCTCGAAGGCCTCTATAGCTACACTGCGTTATGGTCCTTCACCCTGGGCAGGTCTTTCCACAACTGCGTGGCGACAATTAAGCAAGGACGTAGAATAAGTTCATCAGTTAATAAGTCCAGGCACATTTTAAATGTTTATAATGGTTTATTTTTTGGAAATCTTCTGTTTTTGCATTGAGGTGTTGTAGAAGGTGCTGTACAAATCCAGAAAAAAGAAGACAGGATAACTATTGACTGTTTGAGCAGTTCCAATAAAACTGAATATTTACATAGAGAATTTGACATACTGGAGTTGTAATGCAAAATGAATCACAAAACATGTTGAACGACTTTCAAAATACTTTTCTTCAATCAGCACTTCTAATTTTAATATGTGTACTGGAACACAATCTCCTGCATTGTTACTTAAATATATAAAATGGTGTCATAACAATTGACAGTTACTCTATCAAATTAGTACTTTCCACAGGTGTATGTGAGTTGACTAGTTAACTGGCTGAATATTAAAGATGTAAAGAGCTGAGTTCATGTAGCTTCAAAAAAAAACTCCATCGAAGTATTGACTGAAGGTGAAATAATCGAGAATAATCAACAGATGGATACCATTCATTTTATCAATGATATTTGAAATTTTGAAGTGTGTTATGGCAAGAAGGTGGGAAAACTGCTAGATAATGAGTATTATTCTGGATTACTCATTATGGTCCAGCTTACATAATGTTAAAGCAAACATAATATGTTTTACTATTATCAATTTCAAAACTCTGAGGGTATCCATGCACAATATACAATGGAACACAGTGTTGGTGAACAAAGCACATCAAAATGCTAATATTTGAATCTGGAAAATATAAACTGAAGTTGTTTTTCTTTTTGTGGACTGAGTAGGAGTAGTAAACTGAATCAAGTTATTCTTGCTACTTAAAATAA